ACTTTTAGAAAGCAAGGCTAGCTGAAATTCAATTAAACTGCAAGTCCTCCTCATATTTTAGTGAGAAAACTCAACTGCTAGTCCCATCATCTCCCTAAACGAAATACGTTGAACACATTTTTTATTTCTCTAGTTTCACGCAATCAAAATTTTCCCTTGACAACCGACGTCAGTTAGCGCGAAATGATTTTCGGGTTACTTGATTACCTAATGTTTCATTAGAGTGCATTATTAAAACATTCACGACATTAAATTACTGCTATTTTCTAAAAAAATATTATTGTATTGTAAATCCCGACATGAAATGATTAGTACAGAATCCACTGACATTTTATAGTAAACTGTCCTTAGAAAGTTCCATTTATCTGATAGGTTAAATAAAACTTGCCGTCAAAATGTTAGGTTAAATTTTTTGTTAGTCATTGCGATAATTTCTAACTTTAAATGATTCAGATTGCTTTTGTGTTCTTGTATGTGTGAGTTAGTGTTGCTCACAAATGACCCAAATTAAAGAGCTAAGTACTGGATTAAATTTAGGATACAAATTTATTTGTTTATTATCTAACGCTTACCTTCTTTTCCATTATAACTCCAAGAGCCAAACTTCATAGAGCAAGCTTGGATATCAAAGGGAAAGAATTCAACGTCAATCTGACAAGAACTCTTGTATATCGCCGGTGGCACCCAGCGAACTGTTCCATTGTGGTACACGGTTGTTTTGGTCATAATATCCACTGAATAATTACCATCAGCACTTAAATTTTTAGTGATCCATAGAAAAGCGGAAGGGAATAGAGGAAAGTAAAGCCATAAAATATATGTTTCCTGGATAACTATTGAACATATGCAAGAAATAGCTTATTCAACAGCCCAATAAGATGCTATGTATTTTATGGCATGAATAAAACTACAGAACTCGAGACAAATCTTGTTCTTTCTTAACAGGTACTTTGCTAAAGACATAAAATTAGTGATATAGCAAATAGATAAAAGAGCAGAACTGCCTGCTCTGAACTAAGTAAGAAGCTGCACTGAATTATTTTCTATTCTCAGGTGAATGGTAAAGAATGAAATTTTGAATAAAAAGTCGATTATATCAAATGCTAGGATACTATTAGTCTTGCACTGAAATCGTGGATATATATATATATATATATATATGGTGTTTTAGTGTCCATCTTAAAAACATGAGGAGAAATTCCATATGGAATGCAGAGGTTTAAGGGATTTTGCACATTTGGAATATATAATGCAGGGTGTCAAGTCGAAAGCTTGCAGTATTTACTATAACACTTGATTCTTTCCCAAGGCAAAACCAGTTACTGTATAGTACTACATAGACTTTGTTGTGGTCGACGGAGTATTCAAAGTAAACCATACGCTGAGATATGAAAATAAGCTGGGTTTCCAAGAATCCCTTTATAGATTGATACTGGCGTACCTTTTATTTGACTTGAGGAGGCGGGTCGAAGTGATTCGTAGATTGGTCTCACCAAACACCGCATCAGGGTTGCCTTAGACTTTTGTCCGTTGCACAGTTTAACAGACAAAAGTCCATGACAACCCTCCTACGGTATCCGGTGCGGACAATCTACGAATCCCTCTGACCCTCTTTCATAAACGAAATGAGAGGCGCGCCATTATAAACTATAAATTTCCACTCGAGGAATGTGGAACGAAAAAGAGTAACCTATATTTTCAGTTGGCCCTTATTAT